TGTATTTTATGTTTTTAGAGCAGGAGACAGATGACACAGCAGACATTAGAGGAAGCTGAGTGGGGAGACCACGTGAGAGGGGCTCTCAGGTCGGGGACAGCAGGGGCCCTGTGTCTAGCCGGCCTGCCCTGGTCAGGTGTGAAGCAGCAGCTGCCCAGCAGCGGGGCTGTTTGTGGAGAAGCTGATCTGGAGCTGCAGTCCAGCCAGGGCCTGAGGAAGCGCGGGTGGGCGGTGGAGTGAGTACCCAGCCTCGTCTCTCTCTCTCTCTCTCTGGCAGTCTGAGGCTACTAGGACTCCCAGTTACCTCTCAGAAGAATCCAGGCAGCTGTGATCTGCCTCCCCGTGCTAAACCCCGTGTGGGTTTAGGACTCAACGAGCGGGATTGTGGGCTTCAGATGTCTTTGTTTGAATCCCAACTCTGCCACTTAATAGCTGGTCGCTAGGAATCAGCCACCTAACTTCTCTGTACCTACTTCCTCTTCTGTGAATGGACATGAACTCAGCCCTCCCCTCTGAACTGTTAGGAAGGCCCCCGCCCCGGCTCCCACCACGACTGTCTGTGGGCCTGGGCACACACTGTCCTCGCTGCACTGTGTATGAGCATTTTCTTTTTCTCTTTGCAGACTCGTTCAAGATTTCCTGCTTTATTATAGTTCTAAGTTTATAGCCCCCTCCCATCTGCACTTCTTACCAAAGCTTCCTGAGGCCATGCTCAGTTAAATGAGAGCTACAGGATACTCTTCTTGGAAAATAACTTGTGCAGAAGTTCTGTGATAGCTCAGTTATTCTGTCCTAAGTACAGCAAGGGTTTGGTTGGAGTCCGAGGTGAAAGCTCTCTCCTACGCCCCTCCCATCTCGGCCTCCTCGCAGTGAGGTGAAGCACCTCTTGGGCTTGAGATAACCTGGATTCACTAGTGAAACTCAAGATGGGTGACGAGGTTGACCCAGGCAGACTCAGCTTTATCAGTGGCGTGGGCTTGGGGAGGTTGTGGAAGGTTGACGATGCTGGCTTTAATGCGCCTTTGGAGGGCCTTCAGGTATTGTCTCAGGCCCTCACTGAAAGTCTGATCCCGCAGGCTGGGATTTATATAACGTGCAGCTGTCTAACAAAACAGTCGATTTTACTAGAGCGTCGTTCTTTCGTGGGGTTTTTGTCTTGACAGTCACGTCATACTTCCTCTGCTCTCAGTGTGTCTTCCCCTTCTTCCGTAGTCTTGCTCCAGAGGAAGGTATATAGGTTTACAGAAGAGAAAAGCAAGGACGGAGCATCTCTCTGACTGAGCATACTCTGACTCAGGCACAGGCCTGAGTGACTGCTGACGTCCACCGACTGACGAGGAAAGACAGGTTTGCTCTGCTGGCCTGCTAGGACAAGCCCGCAGCCCTGGTGGGAGGGCAGTTACTGCTTTTCGCTTATTTGAAGTTGGAATAAAGATGCACAAGGAAACAAGTGGATAAGTGACAAAGAGGAGAGACACTGTTGATGGCTACAGATGTATTTGAGTGTTGCTATCTTCAACTTTTACTTAGAAAGTTTGCTTAGAAAACTCCTTAAAATTGGGAAAATACCACAAGCAAAAACTATTCAAGCTTTTGCAAGCTGTCCAGTTGCTTGAAAATTTGAGACTGAAGGTAAAACATTTTATTAGCTGTCCAACTCAAATGTGAAGTATTCTTACCAGGTTAAAAGTGACTAAAATCCGCTGCCGCTCTCTAACTACTTTCGTTAGGATTTCTAAAATGATTTTTTTTTTCCTAATTCTGGAGGCTGAATTTAACAGGCTCTCCCAGCAGGAGCGTGCCTGCGTTTACCCTGCACCTGACCGGGGCACCCTTTGCTGAACCTGTCAGCAGCTCAGTTGAGCAGTCAGGCTGCGTGACTCATTGTCTTGTCTCACATGAGGACAGCAGTCCGGAGAGAAAAATATCACAAATTGGTGCCACACTTCCATAAATAGAGACATTTTATTTTTCACCAAGCTAATTCAATCCAGTTCAGTTCACTCTTTTTCCTCACTTAAGGACAGATCACAAAAGGCAGCCATGAATGACTGAGTTTGTCATGTGTTTGACACGTCAGTGTGTGAATAGAAAGCTGGCCCGCCGGGCCGCTCCTTTAGATTCCAGACAATGGGGTGCAAGGCCGCCCCTCAGGTCTGCTGAGGCGCTGGAGAGCAGCTTGCCTAAGCTTCTGCCCAGGGCCAGGGAAGTGGCCGGACCCTGCAGCCACCCTCTGTCCCCATGCTTGTGACTTTTTCCAGTTGAATAATTGTTGCTCAGAGTTCTCATTTTTCAGGTTTTTGCCAAGTTTCATGTCAGTGTCTCCCAAGTGCTAAGGCCGTTGGATGTTATATATTATGATTTCGATAAAAATCTTTGTTCTAAATGTCTGTTCCTTATAAAGCCCCTCATTAGATAAATATATTACCTGATTGTCTCTTGGCTCCATAGTTTCTCCCTGAGACATGTACTGCAATGAATAGCCATAATTGTTGTTCTTCCAGGCTGTAAAGCTTATGAGAAATTAGAGTTGCCAAAAAGCTGCCGCTGCTTGTGAGTCAGGTCTGAGCTGTCTTTTGTTGCACCCGGACCTTTCCGGGGATCATGGGGTCGTTTCCGCCTTGCTGCTGGGCATTCAGGTCTCTCGGTGGCCCCGTACACGCTGCTGTCTGTGCCCAGACCACCCCACACATCTTCAGAGTCCTTTCTGTGGCATGCTGCCCCACTGTTCGTGTAACTTTAAATCCTCCTTTCCCCTTAAATTAGGCCTCCATGACATTGCTGCGATACACTTCTCTACGTGGTTTAAAATCCTGACTCAGCGGTGCTCTCCCCTCTCTTCCTCCCTCCCTCAAATATAGCCCCACTGTCCACTTGTTCTTTGTGGCCTCGGTGTCAGGCCCCAGCACACAGCCACACTGTGCGGGTGGCAGGGAGGAAACAAGCCAGGCCAGTGCCACAACTACAAGGGCAGATTCTAGAGCCGGACACCTCCACCTCTTACCCACTATGAGTCCGTGCAAGGACGTGCCCTCTGAGTTGTGTCCTTATTTTGAAAATGAGCATCACACCTGTTTTAAAGGTCACGAAGACTAAGTGAGTGGATGCTGGTTAAGTGCTTGGACAGTGTCTGGCCCAGACCCAGCGCCATGTAAATGTTTATTCAATAAAGCAATTTCTTGAATGTGTTCTTGTCGGTCACTCAGTGATGTGTAACTTGTTAGCTCCTCTACTCTCCACAGTAGCTGTGTACGGTGGATGTCACCACCCCTGGTCTACCGGTGCTGGAGCCCACACTCATGAAGGTTTAGTAACTTGCTCAGGGTCAGAAGTCAGAGCCAAACCAGGATCTGAAGTCACACACCTGGCTCTGGGAGCCTGAGGCATGTGTCTCTGCTAGTAGCCACTGCGGTGGACTGTCCAGCCTGCGGGTAAATGCCTCTGAGGGTGTCACAGTCTGCAGTGCTGTGCATCCTGATCCACGCGAAGCAGCCTGCTGTGGCTAGCAGGCCCAGAGCCTTAGTCCCCAGGCCCTGACGTTGACAGCCTTGGCCTGAGAATGAGGATAGGAAGCTGTGCCCATGGCTCGAGATCAAAGGGTATTGGGAAACGACATCTTCGTAATTTGTGGGGAGGGGGAGTTTCTTTTAAGCATCAGGGTCTTGAGGCTTTGCTGGTACAGTTAACTCTAGTCTGGAACTTTGTAGAAAGCTGCAAAGTGGTGAGATCCAGGGAATGAGAAAAGGTGGCTGCGTCGTCGGCCTGGACTTGGTGTGTTGTCGGTATTAAGGCATGTTTCTGCCTCCTCTAGTGTGCTGCCCAGCCCGCTGAAATGCCACATTAACCACAGAGCCCCAGCTAGAGTAGACCAGCATCTGGTTCTGGAAGGTAGTGCTACAAGCTGTAGTCATAATCGAGACCTTGGGGAATTTGCTTAAGGTTTTCCCTGTAGATAAACAGCCTGGGATGTGGACCTGTGCGATAGATATTTTCCAGACGTTATCCAGTGTTCAACCTTTTCAAGCACACAATAAAGTTTTAAAAGTCAGTTTTTTCCAAAGAATTTCAGTTATTTGATAACGCACAGATAATGTGTGTGTGTGTGTGTGTGTGTGTGTGTGTGTGTGTGTGTGTGTGTATAATATAGTTCTTTTGTATTAAATGAAAAGACTGCTAGGTTAGTAATGCTTTCTAGAGGCTGTAATGACAAATACTTTTAAGTGCCGGGCAAAAACTGAACTTGAATGGCAATGATGAAATATTTACTCATCAGCTGGCTTTGAAGTTTAGCTTCTTTTTGGTTGCTCTACCCTTCCTGATGGACATGTTTCAAAGAAGAAAATGATTATACCATTCAGCTGTGATGTTTTCTTACTCTCTGCATGGAAGAAACCTATTTTGTTAGGCCCACTTGAGTATCCGAAGACTGTACTTAAAGAAATTTCTAAGACCTTATTTAAAAATCACACTAATGATAGAAATGGTTCATACAACTCTGAATTTGTTCTCATTGGTAGGGTAATGTTTAATTTTTCTTCTGTTGTCTGTAGGATTTTTTTAGGATTGCTTTAACTCTTTTATTCTACAGTCTTTCCAACCTACTTAATTCTGCACAGTCTTTATCTTAACGCCTAAGGTAAGTTGCTGGATATAAAACAAGTGCTGTGTTATAAAATTCAGTTTTATAAGATACCTTAAATTGTTTAAAATCCCTTATATAAGTTTAAAAGATGTTTGGAGACTACATATTAGAGGTCCAGTTTTCAGCTTTCATAGTAACTGAGTGTAACTGTGTTCTCAAAGTTTAAAATTGTAGATGTTTAGGATGTTGAGTAAATAGTGTTTTCCTTCTGCATCCTAGATTAAATTTCACTCAAATGACTGAATTAGGACGTGGTAATTATAATTTTTAATGTTGGTGGAAAAAATGTTCCTTTTATTTTTCTTCCTGTGGACTCTGATGCAGTGGTAATGTTTATGTTCTGTCTTTTATTATGCAGTTTTCATACAAATCCTACAAGCAGTGAAGACCTCAGGAAAATCCCGGTGAGTGACTGAGGGGCTAGAGGGTTACCGAAGAACAAGCCCTGGGCCAGCCTCTGCTGGAGTGGGTTTCTAAGGGCTCCAGCCCCCCGAGTCTGTTGCCCATGGATTATAGCTTAGTGTGCTAACTTGGGGAGAAAGAAGAGCAAAATTAGACTTTGTCTTTAATATTTGATAGAATGTGACTTCTATATGATTGATTAAAGTGGAAGCAAGTATTAGTTCTAATTGAAGCCAGTTTAGATTATGCATATTTTGTTTGCAGCCTTTTAATATTATGAAAGCTGTATGTCAAGGTCAACATTATGGTTATAAAATAAGAGCATGTGGAAAAGACCAACATTTCTTATTGTTGTGACAATGATTGAAAAGTAAAACTGCTTGTTAACATTCAACAACAGGAAAAGTGCCCTGGCAAGAGATCCAGTTACTAGGACAGTATTTGAAAGAGTCTGTAGGGAACTTACCGCCCTTAGCAGAATAAAACGAGCTATATTAGCAAGAGTTGGTAGCGACCAGCCGTGTTAACACACATATTTTGCAAGAATTATTCAAGTATCTCCACTTCGTTTTATAGCTATTTGATGTCAAGTTTTAGATCTCTGTTCAGAGCTCCATTGGATCTTCAGTCTCTTCCGAATGTCCTAAACCCAGAGAATAAGTCGGTTTACAAAAATGTGGGCACATATTCTTGGTAGAAAATTAAATTCTCACTGAATCATAGAAATAGAACCTTTATTCCAAGAGACTGGTGGTTGTGTTTGAGCCATCTGTCCTTAATGTGTGATCCAGATGTATAATAAGAATTTTTTAAAGCAATAACATATCATTTCTATGATGTGATGTGCCACAAAGAAACCTTTGGTGGTATAGAAACCATTAAATGTACTTATTTGTCTTTAAAATTGTAGAAAACATTAGAGAAACAGAGGACTTTGTACTGTGTTGTGCTGTTTTATGTAAATGATTTGTAAGTTTTGATGTTTCATAAATACTTGAGTCTTTATAATACGGCAGCCTAGCAAGAAATGTCAGACTATATGAAGTCAGTCTTTGATCAGATAATAAAATGAATTCTATCAGGCAGTTACTTAATCTCAAACAAAATGCAACATCAAAAAATCAATTTAATGTGCAGCTATTGTTTATTAAGTAACCTTAATTACAATTTCTATGTGCTTGTAAATGTACTTTCCAAATCTTGTAATTTATTGCTGTAAAAGCATCTTTAGAATTCTTTTAAGAAATAAAAAGTGAAAATTGTTTTAGTTAAAGGATTTAAAGGTGATAAAAGAATCCTTGATGTGTGATTATTTTTCTGTGGAATACTAACTATTCCAAATGACAGTTAAAGGATTACTAGGTGTTGTTAATTTACTGCAAAATACAATTAAGAGGAGAAAGCTCATCCTTATGCTGATCATTATTGAGGAAAAGTATTTGAACAATTTTTATGTTGAAGATTATAAGATGTTTGAAGTAATTTACATTAAATTCTCCAATAATAGCCATCCTCCAAGTTATTTTTTCCCCTTCTGGACATAGTATTTTGTAATTAAGTTTGTACGTCTTCCATGCTAGTGCCAACACCTGTCTGTGAAAGCACAGTGTTTAAACAGGAGCAGTAGCCAGTTGAAAGGGCAGTGTGAGCTCTTTAAGGCCTAATTAAGAACTGAAAGGGAGATGAAGGGAGTAGGACAAAAGATGTGAAAGTAGCTGAGATGATATTCCCAGAGCAAAGTTCCTCATTAGAACAATAATGAGATGATCAGAGAATGCCAGGCCTTCATCTTATCTCTCTCCCCTCTAGCTGCCTTGGATGTCAGTTAGTGCCCACCAGTATTCGGTTACCAGGACAACCTTTCTTTACATCTTCAGTTATTTTGAGACCTGATAATTTGCTTTTGTTTAAATTTAAATATTGTAAAAAATATACATTTCCTAGTTTAAAAGGCTAGACTAAGTGTAAAGTAAAAATAGGTCAGTAGCATTTCTTAAATCTTCTCGCAACTGTTATTTAAAATTCTGATTAGAAAACATCTTGTAATTCTATTACTCTCTCGACCCCTAATTTTCTTGCATCTGCATATGGAAATTTTTAAGGAAAGTTGGGTAGAAATGGAAAAAGATTGGTTGTGAAAAAAGAAAAGTATACATTAAACTTCAGTGTAAAAAGACATCTTAAAAACATCTGTGCTATCTATATGTGGTACTAGAGGGAAAAAATACTGAGTACTTAGGAGTCCTACTATAGGTTTTTGAATCTTGACCAGTTTGGACAGCTTGCAATTTTTGTTTTTCCAAGAATAACTTTTAAAGTATCTTTTGAAAAAGTATTTAAACTTGCCTAAGTTTTCTCTTACAGCAAAATCATTTTTGTGACCAGAAAGTATCTTCTTTTTTTGTTAATGTTAATCTTTATTATTTTATTTAGAGTGATATTAGCAAGCAGAAGAATATAAATATATTTATTTAGTGTCAATTTAAGAATCTTGTGCCTCCAATATGGGGTAAAATCTGGCACTAAGCATAAAAATGTTTTTAATTATTTTATGTTCTTTTCCAGAATATAGTTTATAGTACATGTGTTTCTAAGATGTTTTCCTACCTAGAAACTTGATGCAGTGATTTAGGGTTAAATTTTTACACAGGAGGACAAGTGGAAAATTTATTGAAAAGGTCAGAAATGTATTTTCAGGCAGTCTTTCTATACATAGGTACTAGATTGTTGCGATGGGGAAAAAAAAAAAACTATACAATGGTTCTGTATATTCTAGCTTAGAACTGTAAACGTTTGAATACCATTCCAGGATAGTAACTGATTATTTTGAAAGCTTAAATTGTTAGATTGCTTTATATCATGGCAATAATTTAAACTAAAGTCAGAATAGAAATGTTTTTATATGTGTTTCATCCTCATCATCTATAAAGGAATGTTTTAAAAATACTTTGTTAACTCCATTATACATTATCCAGTACTGCATTGTACTGTGAAGTATAGCATTAACTGATTTTCAAACTGTGTATCATCACTTAGTCTGATCAACTCACATATGTATAATTTGACTTAGAGAGATTCAAATGAATGCTATTATGTGAAATTGAGAAAAAAAACATAAAAGTCATCAATCACATCAGTTATGAATCCCACTTAGTTAAAATTTCATTAATCCCTACAATTCTCACAAGAACTATTTTTCAGTAAATGTGTTATTAAAATGAAATCACATTAGTTGGCTATTACTTATGGCCTTTTGAAAATGTGTTTGGAAAAAAATTTTGTAGACCAGAAAATTTTAGAGTTAAAGGGAACCTTGAAGAACCACCTTCTGGGTTTTTCAGAAAAACAAAATGAGACCTAGTTTAGTTTCTGTCTCAGATATATACAGCTACTTAGATTAAAGTAAGAACTTCTAGCTTATTTTAAAAACATTTAAAATATATACTTCTGTAGTATATGTACTGTTTTATCATTTCTATAAAAACCCCTTAATGTTAAAAAAAAAGCTTAATAAAAATGTGGTTAGGAATTTTTCTTTAGTTATCTTTATTTTGTGTAGAAGAGCTGGGGGGCAGGCCAGAGGTGCAGGGAGTAAGAGGATCCACCAGAGACAGTGGGGAGCAGAACAGGCAGAACCACTGAAATCCACTGCTGAGGGGAGCAGCAGGGAGATAGAGGTCGGCTGGGCCCTGTGGGTCACCTCTCTGGCCAGGGGATGAAACTCAGGTTGCATCAGTGATGGTACTTAACCCCTAAGCCACTAGTAGAGAGGCTCCTGGTTATGAATTTTAGTAAGTTCAGTGCCTCAGTTCATGATCAGTTAACTTAGTGGATATGGTGGTGGGGGCGAGAGAGGGGGTGGGCAGGAAAAAGACTCTTAGAAAATACTCATCTGCAGATAAAGAAAAAAGCAAAGCAACACTCAGTCTTCAGAGTTTTCCTTGACTTTAAGCTGTTATAGAGCCCATTCCTAAAATGTCTGGGGATAAAGGTCATGTACCCTTCCATATACAGTTTCTAATGCTGCCGTGTACGTTGTGTGCAGTGTATTGTAGAGAATTCAGTCACTCCCCTGTGGCATCCTCTCTGTTCCGCCTGCTAATCTAGTGGAGCCTCTTACTAACCCTTGTCTTTAATATTTCACTGTGAAATATTTTTTAACTAATCTCAGGCCTTCTAAATGAGCTCATCCTCTGGTGCTATTGTAATCTTCCTAGACTTTAGCTACCTAGCTTTCTTCTAGTTAGAAACCCTCAGTGGTTGCAGCTTCCATAGGATTCCACAGCCGTGATGGTCTGCTTGGGACCAACCACTTCAGCCACAGTTCTCACTCACTTTCCTCCCCGGACCTCTGGGCCTTGCGCCTGGCTCATCCTCGCACAGGCACAGCCCACGGCTGCGTGCCCATGGCACACGTGTGCCTGGCAGAATTTTTGTACGCTCCATCTTCTCCACCGTATCTGAGAGAGTCTGGAGAAGTTACTCAGTCCTGGAGTTCTCCCTTTGTCCTTGAGTGGGGTGTGCTTCAGTGACCAGTGTCACGTGGCTGTCTGTCCTCCAGCGCTTCTCGGGCTGGTGTCACGGTCCCCCCGGGAAGAGGGGACAACGAGTCATTAAACTTTGGCCCTACTGATGAAAACTCCTGGCACACCACCAGTTAAAACAGATCCTGAAAAGGCATAAAGACAAATTGAGTATCTATGAAAAAGGGGGAAATGCCTTTCTCTGCTCATCAGTTCCCCATATTTATCCTCTGCTGACTAGATTATATACTAATCAGTCCTTAAGACCAATTTCCTCATTATTTTAGTCTATTTTCTTTAAAGCCATGAAAATGTTTTGAAAGAAAGTAATGGAAAACATTTCAAGTTTTGTTAAATTGATAGAACTTTGTACAAAAAGGCACACTTCTTTATATTTGGGCATTATATTTGCACAGTGAAAAATTAAGTTTAACATACTGTAAGTAGAGGATGATGTTGCAGTGTCTTCTTGATTATATTCCTGAGAAACGTTTCTTTTACTAGTAGACTGCTTTGTGATATACATGAATCAAACAGTGCCTTTTTCTTTGTGATTTATAGTTATACTTTTTATAAAAAGAATGTTCAATATAATTAAGTGAAAAAGTGGAACAGCAGAGTGGAGACATGCTCACCTTCGGTGTTAACCTGATCTTTACCAAATACTGAGTTTCCTGGTAACTGGGGCAAAAAGGGCGTATAGATATTTGTGCTAGGAGTAGGAAGGAGACTTGTTACTCAGGGGAGAAAAAGCTCTATTTACACTAAATTAAAACAGAAGTTCCTCCCTGGGGGCATCTTCCAAGGATACTCGTTGGTGTAATTCTGAATGCCTTGAAGATTTCATAGCAATTGGAGAAGCAAATTTGATACTGCTGCTGCTTGGAACCCTCTTCAGTAAAAAGCTGAAGGCATGACGTTAAACCGCAGTTCCATGGAAGCAGTTCCATGAGGATTAAACTCATGACCAAATGATGATTTTCAATAACTTCTTAGAGTTCTTCCAAGTAAATTCTTAGTTCTTTATTTTTTTTTTAATCTATTCAGTTTATTTTCTGCAGCACATTTTCTCTTTAATATACCCTTGTATGGCCAGATTCTTCTGTTAGGACAGTATTCACCCTGTGAAAACAGGTTTAGGAGAATTCAGAAGGACAGTCAAGCCTTTGGCGTATCTGCCCTCATCTTTGCCTCAGCCGTGCCGTGATCTGTCACATGGGGTCTAGACAAGGACAGGAAAAATGAAAAAAATTGATCAGTATTGAAAAATGAAGTTAGAAATGATTCTGCTCTGTTCCTGGTGTGCTGTCTGTTGAAGTGACTGTGTCTGTCCTGTTGCAGGACAGCAACCCTTTCGACGCCGCTGCGGGGTACCGGGGTCTGACCTATGAGGAGGTGCTGCAGGAGCTGGTGAAACACAAAGAGCTCCTGCGGAGGAAGGACACCCACATCCGGGAGCTGGAGGACTACATCGACAACCTCCTTGTGAGGGTGATGGAGGAGACGCCCAGCATCCTCAGAGTGCCATACGAGCCGTCCAGGAAAGCTGGCAAAGTCTCCACCAGTTAATCAGCCCATTGCACTGAAGTTATAATTGGGGGAAAGAAGAAGTGAAGAGAGAGAGGAAGAGGAAGTACTTGTGACTGCAAGAGACTGCACACTGTCAGGTTTCATTCCATGCCCCCTCCATTGTGGAAATGTGTTCTACCTGTAAATAGTAACATGGACTCTCAAGAGTGATCTTTGAAGTGAGCCACATTTAAACATTAAAGTGAAAACAGGCCAGATTGTCCATGAGTCAACGGTTCCTTAGGATTTGTTTGGGTGCTGGTGCGGGCCTACCCATCTGCCATTAGGCCAAGAACTATCGTCAGAAGGGTGTGACTTAATCCTTGGGAACAGCTTTCATGTAGAGTTGATACTGTGGCGGATTTCTCAGAAATCAGTTTGTAGACCTATTTAGTGTAGGAATACCACTCAGACACTACGATTGGGAAAAGGTTCCTATTTTATATACATAGCTATACATGAAACAGGTTCATGTATCTTTGTATGTAAAATACATGCATATACCTCATACACATGTGTTTTTACGTTTGAGAACTACTGGTTGTCTCTAAAATTAGGGTACTGATTTCTTATTTGAAAATATATGTGTGTGTGCTCTATTGCTGTAAAACAGATCATCGCTGCTCTTAGGATTGACCATAGAAAAGCTGCTTCAAATCACTCTTGAGTCTGTGAACCCTGGTCTCCAAATGAGCTGCTTTATATATAATCCCATAGAGTATTTTCCAAAAGTAATGACCCAGAGTCCTTTCTTAAAGAATGACATGTTTTAGGAAACTTCATTAATTTCACAACAGCATGAACTTCTTGAAATAATTTCCTACCTTAACATTTGAGTTTTGTTTGAGCTATAAGCAGAAGATAAGTTAATGCAATTTGTTGACATTCTGCATGACTTTAAATCACACCAAGGGAAATATTAGGAAGGTATATCTGAAGATAATTTCGGGGAGTGGGGAGGGAGGAAAGTAGGTGATCCTTTGATGACTGATAACCCAAAGCTATGGGCAGATTCTAGGAATGAAGAATTAGGCTTGGTTTCAAGTTACGTAAATAATAGAACAGATGGTTGCATTTGGGTCTTGAACCAAGATGAGAGTTACTAAAGGAGGATCGAGTTTTTAGAACAAAAACTAGCATAACATCATACCGTATTCTTTATCTGCCCTTCAAGAGGATCTAAAAATTAGATGTTGGCTTTTTTTAAGTCTGCTCTCCCAGGTTACCAAAATGAGTCATCTTTATGTTCGTATAAAATATTTTGAAGTTTAAAGTGAAAAGCAGTAGTATCAGGAGGTCACTAATCACTCGCTACTTATTTTTACAAATCTGATACTTTGAATTTAAAATGAAGAACCCATCCTATATTGAGGCATATGCCTGTCTTTTTAATAAACTGCTTATTTTGGTTTAATACTTTAAGGCTTCACTGAATACTAAATACAAAAGTTTTTAAATGAGCAATGGTTTTGCTTATTTTCGTATTTCATCAGCTGGTATCCGTTGTTGGCTTCTCTAAGTTTCTTTTAGTTTTCCTCTGATAACATAACATTTTTGAATTCAGGAAATTTTTCCAAATTCCAAAAATTTCTTCCTTTTTAAATGAAGAAATGGAGAAGGAAAAATAGCTCCTATTAACTTTTTCTTCCACTTTAAAATTTCCATAATAGATCTCAAAATCTAGGGTAGACTTCTTTCACCATTTGAGATTTTGAAAATTTTTTACATGATGCCGTTTTAATTAACATTTATTAAATATTACAAACTTCTTAGTATTTACTTTGTTGGTTAGTATAATTGGTATGCATAATTTTGAAGTGCCAAAATCCTTGTGTTTTCAGTATTATGCTAGCTATCTACAGATATTTAACCACTTTGGCCAAATTTGCTCTTTATAAAATGACCCTGGATGCCAGTTTTGTACTGGGCATGTTTTATGTAAATCGAGCTCACAAAACATATGATTGATGAACTGCCATTCTTCCTTTTGAGCAAATTCATTTTTTAGTAGAGATTCTTTGCTTATATAAAAGTTGTTAAGGATTATGCTTACCCACATGTGAGAGTTGGGTTATGAATTTTATCTTTAAATCTGAGACAAGATTTGTATTGAAAATTGAATCTGCATTTTTCAGTATCTAAAAATATTCTGTTCTGATGTTTGTGAATTTTCACTCATGACCTCACTTTCATAATTGGTTGATAAAATGAAGATAAAAATGTAAAAGTCAGTCCTCCAGGACACAGCAGTACCCCCCGTGTGTGGGCAGAAGTGCCGGCAGCAGTCGGCATTCGAGCATTGCAGAAAAAGAGCAAAAAGGTCACTTGAGTTGGTTTTCCCAAAATGTAATTTTTAAGTATTCTGATGGTATACTATTAGTTTAGAAACAAATAAAATGTATGTACTCGTTAAATAAAGCACAGCACAATAGACTTCTAAACAGATATCACTTTGCTTTTATGCTTAAATAAAAAATACATGCTTAAAAATATTTATTCACCCATAAGAGGATTTTTTAAATCCATAGAATTGACAAACCCAGTTTAAGCTAATCTATTTTGGTTACAAAATTCAGACTGTTACTTTAAAAATTTGTTTTACAACTAGTTCCCATCCTTGTTCTGAAATTTAGTTTTGAAACTACTGTGCGTTCTGTCCTCCCACTTCGGCCTCAAGGTGCAGTTCAAACCAGGGCTTTGTCTTACAGAGTTGTATATAAAATAATCTGCCATCCATCCATGAGAAATGTTGAAGTTGCTTTTTTGCTGCTATATTCTGCATTGAGCCTCATTTTTTTTAACCATCCCTGTCCCAAGAATGTAGTATTTTCCATAGGTTATGCATAACTATGTCTGTTGCTTTTCGCAGTAAATGAAGATCAAATTGTAATTTCCCCCCTGTGAAAATAAATGTTGCCTTGTATTTAAAGGAGTTTCATGAATGGAAACCTAAGTACAGCTCAACTCATGAGTGAACACTTGCTTTGCTCACACCCCTTCTTTCCCAGTTCCTCCCCCTCTCCCCCCCAACCCCATAAGGGTGCTTATTCTTTAGTAAGGAGAATCTTATAAAGAGACCTGCCATCTTTAATGTCTGGTAATTGTTACAGTAGAGCTTTTACTTTCTCCTGTAGCTTTTTAGGAAGAGCCCTCTACCTTGGATCTGCGAATCAAGCTGAAACTGATGTCCGTGTACTCATGTCCCGTAGAGCTGGTAGGTGTCACTGTGTGTCAGTGAAGTAAGAGTATGCTCATTCCCTGATCTCTTTGAAGTCAGAGGCAAGGACGCGTGCTGCGGGCTAGTGGCGGTAGGTGGAAGGGTCTGTCAGCGCACACTGCAAGCCCCCCTCTTCACAGATTTATAACTAATAATCCAGATGCAGTCATTGGAGGTATTTAATATGCAATAGATAGCACCTTATCTAATTAATCTGCATATGAAGGGTTTTCTGATGTATGTAATAAGTGTAGAAGTTCTTCAAGCATTAAACTGGAGGTGACATTTTATTTCTATGTCAGAGAACCTACTCTTTCGAATTGAAGTCTGTAACAAATGATGCATCAGGCTTATTTGTCTTCTAAGCTTCCAGGTAGTTTATACTTTGAGGTACAAAACAAATGCTGCAGGATTTAGAAATGTATATATCTCACAGGTATTTGGTTGATGAGCATTATTTATAACTGAAAAGTATTACTAAGTCACATGCTCTAGTAACTTGTGTACAGTTTTACAGGCACAAATTAAAAAGTATGTAAATGTTGCAGAATGTGACAGTCGTGTAATTTATGTAATCAGAGGCATGAATCAACTTTTATATGTTATTGACTTATAATTAAAGTATTTACTCTTCATTCAGTTGTCATAATTCTCACTGCAGATAAACAGTGTGACATGCATTTGTATGAGTCCTTGTCTTTCAATAAACTCTTTGGTTGCCTTTTCTTGCATTGTCTTTGTATTCATTTGTGATCCTGCAGATTTTCAACATTTGTTAGGCAGCCTCAAGCCAAAGTTACGTGGCAAAGCACAAAATTGAATTTTGTTAGAAGAGATTCTCAATTAAGTGTTGCGGTCAAACGTAAGACAGGCTCCACTGTGTTACTAATATTAGTGCTGAAGTTTGCACATTGTTTTTTTTAAAAAAAAAAAAAACACAACAACTAGAGTCCAGATCGCTGCTCCCAGAATACACCTCTTTCTGTCATGTCCTCAGGGGCGGTGTGTGGGCAGATGCAGGTCGGTGGCTCCCAGCACGCCTCCCTGTGTGTCCCGCCCAGTGCAGACTGCAGCTCAGATGTCCCAGAGCCAGGGAGGCACGTGGGAGGCGAGGCAGGCAGGGAGAGGAGGAATTCTGGGGCCCTGGCAGTCTGGGGGCTCACTTCCCCTCATGAAAAGAGGGCAACAGCTATTCAGCTCCACTCCGGGGCCATGTGCAAGTGAGAGTAAAGCCTGGGCTGCTACGCCAGATCTGAGCATCTGAAAATACAGAATTTTTTTATGTGATATGTAAATTCCAAATTAGCAACTCGGACCGGAGCGTCACCAACTTGCAGTCCCTTCAGTGGGCTGCTACTCTTGGTGGGCCATTCGTGGTCCTCGTGGTGACAGTTCAGAGTGCAGCGGTTCACTTCCCACAAACGATCCTTTCATCAAAACCTGAGCTGGCTGAGAGGCACGTGAAGTGCACTGTGTGAGACGGAACCATGCTCAGCTCAGAAGAAATGGCTGGAGAGAAGGTGAGGAGGGTGAGACCCTCAAGCAGTGTCATTTCAGCTGAGCAGGAGAAGGCGTTCCGGAGTTCTGCTGTGCTGCTTGGTGCCGGCGGTTTACTGCATGCTCAGCTTAAAAGATTTTGATAAGAGGGTAGATCGCCTCTTAAATGTTCCAAAATTGAACAAAAAACAACTTTCTTCTGTGTGCTGCCCTGAAGCAGAATGCATTTGCTTTGAAAGGGGCCCCCTCAGGGTACCCCCTGGTGTTTGGAGCACACTCAAGTGTTCCCAGGGAGCTGTGGTCTGGCCTGTTTGTGGAGTTAGGATTTTTTAGTATCTTTATGAGGCTCTTGCCTTTGGTAAAAGTGGTGCAAAAGCTATTAGAGTTTCAGAGATTAGGTGAATCCGATATTGTGCAGTGTTGAGGTCAAATCACGGGCTGTGCAGCCAGCTTCCTATTCCAAGAATAGGAAGCTGGCATGTTTTCATGGCTTTTTTTAGGGTTTGACACAGGCTCAAAGTGTGGTGGTCATTGATTCCATCATTTATTTGTCTTTCTACTGCATCTAGATCCTCACATACTGACTTCTGATCAGGACAGCATGGGGTGGCCACTTCACAAGCCAGGTCCCCCAACGGCAGTGTCAGCACTGTCTGAAACTTTTTAGGAGCAAATTTGCCAGATCCTTTTCCAGACACTAGGGAAGGCCCAGGAAGTTGTTTTTTAGTTAAATATTTATTTAGTTGTGCACACAAGAACTGGGGTACAGGCTAGAGGTGGGGGTGAGAGGATTCACCAGAGACAGAATGGGGAACAGAATAGGCAGAGCCACTGAAATACACTGCTGATGGGAGCAGCAGGGAGACAGGAGAGGTCTGTGTGGTGTGGGTCACCTTCCTGGCCGGGGATCGAACTCTGGCTGCAGTGGCTGCGGGCAGCCACAAAGTCCTGTGCTTTATCCCCTTATGCCATAGGGAGGCCCCCAGGAAGTTTTGTTTTTAAAGATTTATTTACTTAATGTATACAGAGCTGGGGTACAGGCCAGAGCTGGGGTACAGGCCAGAGGTGCAGGGGCGGTCAGAGGATTCACCAGAGACAGTGGGGAACAGGCAGATCAATGAAGTACACTGCTGAGGGGAGCAGCGGGCGGGTCAGGAGAGGTCTGCCGCGCCATGTGGGTCACCTCTGGGGCGGGGATCGAACTCATGCGGAAGTGGCTTTAGCTTCTTAGTGCTGCTCTTTAACCTGCTGCGCCACCAGGGAGTAAGTTTTTTTTAATAAGTCCCCAGGTATTTCAGCTGCACATTTGAGGAGCCTTGAGATAAGAGTCCCCAGCGCTCCTTTTATTTTTCTTTAATATGATCTAGAAAACCCTTTGGGGACTTCATGCAACTTTCCTCACTGATCGGAATTTATTTAGGGACCTGTCTGTTTCAGCTTTTGATGAATGGCATATTTTGTCCTTTAAAGAATAACGATGAAATGTCATTTGACAGTCACGATGCATTATGCTAGCCAGATACACACTCAGTGCTCTTGATACGGGGATATCTTGCTTGTGCAGTAAGATTTGGCGATGTTACTGAAAAGGCCTAATGAGAAACTGCTCACCTTCTCTTCTGACCTGGCTCTTCCCAGCTGGGACAAGAAGGCCCCATTCTCAGCCTCACAGAGGCCTCACCCAGCTGGATGATAACGAGGAACAGGCTAGGGAGGCAGTCACATATGGAGTGTGCTAGAACGAAGTTCTGAATAGATGTGTGAAGTTGGGTAATGAACCTTAATATAACAAATGAAACCAACTTGTGACTCGAGGTGAGAGGTTTTACTTAACAGGCATTTTGCAAAACTTTGCTAGTTACAATCACTTTTGTCAAATGTGCGTTAAAAACTTACATTCTTTTTTACTGTCAAAACTGGGTCAAATTCTTATTTCTGGGGAAATCTAGAATGAGATTTTAAAAATCTGGTCTGCTCTTGCATCAAATATTAGAAACACCAGAATGAGGAAATAGCTATTATGCATGAGGTTAAATAACAGTTTCAAATTAGGGCAGCGTGAAAGAATATCCAACAGGAGCAAATTGTATTGGTTTTTATTCCTCTGTGGAATGATTACCGGAACATTAAAAGTGTCAAAAGGATGAAGAAACTCCTTAGCACTGGCAAAGGTTGTTGGGTGTGGGGCTTTGGTTTTGACTCCGCCTCCCCTCCCCCGATTCCCAGGAAGGAAGGTATGGTCCTAGGAGCCTGCTGATGGCGCCGGTGACTCAGAACCCTCAGCGGAACCGGAACTTCCAGTGTCCCTGGGCAAAATTTTGCTACGGACAGTTTAAAGGGTAACACAATTGGCTAGTAGATTCACTTCCTTTTCTAGTTAGAAGCGCGGTGAAGTGCAGAGCAGTGGGGTGGAGAAGACAGTGGCAGGTGGTCCGCCTTATTTCCGGTTATAAACTGGGACTTCTGCTGACACTGGATGACCACCACGTTAGTTTAGGTTGTAGGCTACCCGCCCATAGAGCACAAGTACCTCTGTTAAGACAGAGGTTTTTTGTCATCAACAGTTGACTGATGCAATAGCAGCATTTACCATTTTTATGTTTACATTTAAAGTATTTTTTTATTAATGTAATGTTATTGAACATCTTTCATGATTTATAAGCTGTAAAATATTTTAATCCTTGGCTCATTTGTTTACCAAGCTATTCACTTAATACTATATAATATGTAGCACTTGCGACCATCTGTTAGGAATATTTGAATACTATGCACACTGAAGAGATGTACAGCAAATAAAACACAAAACACATGAAATATTCAGGAAGTTTGTGAAGACAATCCATGTATTTTAATTAAAAAGAAGAAGTGTCCTGAAATCTGTCTTTCCAAAAGTGAAGTTCTTCTCACCCCGGGGGAAAATGCTGTGTGGAGATGGTGTTATGATGACATCTTGACTTCCCTGAACTGCCTTCACATAAGAGGCCTGGAATGAATACTCGCTAGAATCGTGCACTTAGTAGCTCCTCAGCCAGAGAAGTGACTGCAGAGTGACTATGGTAGCTGATGGAGCCATGAGAACAGCCCACCAGGGAGGAAGCCCTGGTATCTTGGGGGGAAATCAGAGAAGGGCTTGGGGGGACTTTTGATGACTAAAAACGTCTCCCTAGCACTGAGTTTGGGGTGGCAACTCAACAATGAGATCCCATCCTTGAAGAGACTTGCATCCTCTTGGAGGTTGACGCTGCTTGATTTTTTCTTGCCTCTGAGGATGGAGGGTTTTTTCTTGCCTCTGAAGTAGAGGATGGAGGAAAGTTAGCACCACGTGTGGAGCCCCAGAGCAAGGAACCTTGTTGTGACAGATTGAAAACTGAAGTTTCCCAGTTCACTTCAGAGAAATACCCCCTACTCCTAGCCAGTAGTGAAGTCAAGGACCCCAGCTTTCTCCTGGGATACTGCTTGTTATTTCAGGGTCACCTCTTTTTGCACCTGTCATGGTGTCTCCTCTAAGAATGTTCCAGAACGGCAGAACAATTTAGTGCCCGCGTGACCAGGACACAGCTGGTAGGTTGCAGCGTCACTGAGGCATTCAGGCAAAAGCCGGGCTTCCTCAACTGCTTTCTGTTCTTATATTTTGATGCCAAACCAGACCACATTGGAATTAGACTTCTCTCTTAGCGCCTGCTACTTATTGGTGTCAGAATAGCAGGAGCCCTACGCCCCACCCAAGGGTGCCCCTCCAATTTCCGGAGCAGAGCTTTCTGTCTGATCTTTCGGCTTATTATCAGCTCCCTACTATTCGTTTTATCTACCTAAAAAATTCTGCACTCTCCCATCTTTCTGTTCTCCCACCATCTTTGGAAAGCCTTCCCATGGAGCTCTTCCGGTTGTAGTTAATAACAGACTTCCCCTAAGTTACCGTTCAGTGTGGCATGCCATCGGTTAAATGGATTTCAGGATGCATTTCTGAATGTCATTCACTTTTTTATCTACATGTCCATTTTCTTTTTGTGCTGACCCATTGACTTCATTCTGAATGGTCAATGGTCTCTGTAAATCCTGCTGGATCTTTTCAGGGACAGGCATGAGGGGTTCGGGTCCTATCTGGCGTGACTTCCACCCCTGCTCATGTGACTCCAGGCGGAGAGCCTGTCCAATCTTGGCTGACCACCAGCAACTCCCTCTTGGACATTCCTTTGCCCTTGTTTAGGGGGTCACAAGGTTATTTCATGTAG